TCCTGCTGATTCAGAGCATCCTTTCCTCTCCCGGGCCCATTTTGAGCAGAGATCCTGACATGGGAAATGGCAGGGTCCCTGGCAGGATGAGCCCTGGGGGAGCCTGGTCTCTTGGAGGGGGGAAGCCCTGAGCTGGGGGCTCTTCACCTTGCACTGACCAACACGCTGCCCGGCTGCTCCCTGCAAGGCGAAACTTCTCCTGTGGACCTGCAACTGCTCTGATTTACTCTCTGTGCTTGCAGGGAAGCTAGAGGGAGGTTTGGTGTGAATGAGCCGGCTTCCTCTAGCCTGAAATTTGGGTCACACAAGCCAACACAGCAGAGCTGCAAGAGATGTAGTTCATCCTCTGTTCAATCCCAAGCAAGCTTTGATTTCCAAGGTACAACTGTTGATGGTTCAGAGGGTCTGTCTGAGCCGCTGTTTAATTAGTGGGTTGGCACATGGAAAGAGGCGAGAGGGGTTTTTCCCCTCCCTGATCAGCTCCCATATTGCTAATGTTCCTCTCTGGCCCGCTGCTAATTTTGACGCTGCCCTAAATAGAAGCTGAGTGCATCTCATCTGCTTCGCTTAGCATACGGGAAAATTGTTTTCCTTCATTTACAGAATCCAACTTGCAGCTTTAACCCTGTCAGCACAAGGCTCTCCCCAGACCAGACCTCTGCTGAACGACTTTGTGTGCCTCTGCCCCAGTGAAGAGCTCTCTGCTGGGGACAGCTCTGCACACAGTAGGAGAGGGAGGGCTCCCAGGACGGCCACTGGCAGAGCTGGGAGAGGGTCTTTGTTTCACCAACAGCCGAGGAGATCTCTTTCTCCGCTGAAAGACTTGGTGCTCCAGGTTGGCTCTCCCTGTGCTTTTTCTGGTGGCACATGCTGCTCCCCAGTAGGGACCCAGTGCCCCTTCCCAGACCAGCCTTCCCCAGCCTCATACTGGGAAATAGCTCAGCATAGGCAGACACAGTTGTAGGAGTTTTTGTTGGTTTCTGTTGTGGTATTATTTCCAGCATCTTGTCCCACCAGATGCAGGGAGTCTTCCTGAGCCCCAGCATGCAGGGACCCTTCCTGAGCCTGGCAGATAGATGCCTCTCTTATCGCTGTCTAATTTTATATCCCATTCTGAGTGGTTCCTTGTAAAGATCTGCTGTTCTACTCCACTGGCTGCTCCAGAGCAGGACTGGGTTCGCTCTGTCAGCATGGGGCACGCGGCCTCTCTCTGTGCTGGAACTGGACACAGCACAGTGCTTTCGAAAGGCTGCCATGAACACAAACCCTTCTGCAGCGCAACTTAAATATATCACTGTGTAGTGCAAGGTGCTTATTTGGGGCTCTCATGCAAGAACTGTTTTCCTGCAAAACTATAATTTTGTGGCATTTGCAGCTCAGTGACTGTTACAACAAGCGGTGTGCTGAGGACATGGGAGCGCCGACAGGAAGCATTGGGAGTGCGAGGGGCAGTGGCCTGCAAAGGTTAAATTTAGCTGGTTAGGAAGGACGGCTGAGTGCCGGCACGCCTGAGCTCGAGCTGAGTCTCAGCTGAGCACACAACACCACTTCATCCCGGGTGTGCGCTCAGTTCGCCCTTGTCCCTCACGCTCCTGACTGCAGTCCTGCTCTGAGCCCAGAAGCGCCTTGGCCAGCCCAGAAGCGCCTCTTCCCTGCAGAGCTGTGCCAGGGTGAATGCTGTCCTCTTTCCTCGCCGCTTTCCCTTTCAGCCTCCGGTTTGTTCTCTGTGCTCAAGACGCTGTGCAGCAATGGAGGCTGCTCTGCACGAGGCTCGTCTGCTTGCTGGCAGGCACCCAGCTCCGCTTTGAGCTGCAGAAGTGCCCAGAGCCTCTGGAGTCAGCCACAGGGTGAGTGACCTGTTGCAGGGGCCACAGCTCTCCTCAGATGCCTCGTCTTGCGGAGCACAAGTCGCAGAGCAGCTCTTCACCCCGTTCCCACTCGGGTCCCTGCGGGAGAGGGGACCTTCGTGACGCTCTGCTCATGGCCTCCTCCAGGAGGCTGGTGGTAATTGTCCACCCTGAAGGGTGGCAAGAGGAAAAAGGGAGAGGTTATTTCAGAGCCAGGAGGACAGAGGACCAAGTAGCAGTGACACCCAGCAGGCTCCAGGCTGTGGGGCTTGGCAAGCCAGGGGGACAGCCAGGAACCAGCCTCTGAACAGACCAGCGAGGGCACAATGCATTGCTGAGGCCATGCCAAACAGAGTGATTGGACACGGGGAGTTGTTTGGGGTGTTCTGACTCTCTTCTGTATTTCACTGTCTTTCCAGAAAATCAACCGGACCCCTTCAGATGAGGAATGCTTCTTTGACCTGTTGAGCAAGTTCCAGAGCAACCGGATGGATGATCAGCGCTGCCCGTTGGAAGAATGCCCATCGGAGGCTGCAGAGGCAGCTGCTACACCAGTCCCTGCCCTGGAAGAACGGATATGTAAGCACCGATGCGTTTATAAGTCACTATTGCCCTGTGAGTGATGCTGCTCCCACGGTGTGGCAGGCTGCTGTGGTTTTACTGTGAACCTTGTGATGTTTTCACCAAGCCTGAGCTCTCTGAACTTAGCAGTTCTTTGGCAATCTGTCCTTATTTGAGGAAGGAAGAAACATTCTTAAGTTAATGGTTGCTGAGGGAAAGGCTGAAGAATGGAGACTAAGGCTTAGAGAGTAAACTAGCAAGAGAAATGAAAAATATACCTGCATTTGTTCAGTATGGATCTTTAGAAGGTCTCAACTTTTGAACAGTGAGGTTGGCAATAAGGACTTCTGCCTCTGCCAGCAACTCCAGGAGGAAGATGCTGATGGTCATTACTGAGGGAGCCTTGTAAGAGCATGGAGAGCTGGGGCATGCAGGGGGCTGGGATGGGCTTTCACAGGCAAGTTAAAGGATTGCCAGTTTTTCTGATAGCGTTGCCATGGAGGAGAAACTCCTGCATTTTGTACAGTTCTTGGATGCTGTGGTGATAGGTGCTGTGTAAGAGCAGAGAAGCCAGAAGGACAGATAAACACCTGGAAGCTCCAGCAGGCAGACACCTAACTCGCCCATAGGAAGAGAGGGATAAATTGAGGAAGCCGTCTGACAAATAGATGGGACAGGAAAGGCAGGTCAGGTCTGTGTTTGCACTTTGGTTTCAGGTCTCTTTTTATGATATGGTGTTGAGATTCTTTGTTTAAACCAGGCTGGAGAGAAGCACTAATACGTGCAGGTCACACTTGCAAGCTTAAGCACCATCACAAAGGGCTGAAAACAGTTCATTTGAACCGAGGGGTTTGTTTATTAGTTTCCAAATGAACACGAAGTACAAGCAGGAGAGGAGGAGACCCCTGATATCCCTCCAAGTGTGGCAAGAGCCACAGCACAAGACTGTCAGAGAAGTAGGTGCCAGGAACAGGGGCTGAAGCAGCAGCGAGAGCAGAGCAGTGCGGGGGTCAGGCTGTGGCAGGAAGGCAGGTTGGCTGTGAGGTGAGAAGGTTTTTATCTTCTAAAAATAGGGTGGAAATGAGCATCACTTTTTCAAGATACGCATTTCGGATACAGAAGTGTGTTTGGCTGCAACAGCTGTGTAATTTAGGAGACTGAGTTTAAAATAAGCTTTATAAAGAATGTACAAGTAGGCACATGTTCTGTTTGGCTCTCATTTGTCTGTCAGCCTTTCGGACATGTTATTTTCATAAATATTTTCAGACATGTTTCTTTGTGAGCTGAAGGGCAAGAAACTCATCTTTGCATCAGCAACGAGATTTTTATGTGTTTCTGCAACTCCATGAGCTGAGGCTCTAAAAGGAGCATGTCGTGTTGGCAGGCTCAGGGCGCTCTCTCCTCAAGTGCTTTGTGCTCACTGGGATAGTAGCACCAATCGCGCCGGGTTTCTTACAGTTTTCTTTTGCTTATCCCTGACCCGAGCACAGTGTCTGTTATTTGGGAGTGTTTCACGGAGCGGCTGCCAACAGGCTCTTCCTATTGAGTGCTGCCCGAGAGGTGTTCTCGGGGCTGGGGGCTGACTCGCTCACTTTGCAGAGGTCCTGATATTGCTCATGCACCGTTTGAAAACCCTCCCTTCGTTCCATGGTTGCTCTGCCCCACGTGAGCCCCTTGGTCGTGCCAAGGCCGTGCTGCCTGGAGCGGGCGTGCCGAGGCTGGGGGGTATCGGGCTGTGCTCCGGCCGTGTGGGGCCCGGCAGCTCCTCCAGCAGTGCTCCACCCCAATGGCTAGAAAGCACCAGGCATGTTGGGTGTCTGGATGGGATACTTCCCCCAAGGGTTTATAGATTATAGGTTCTGGAGTGGGACCCCCAAACACCAGCTCATGCCAGCCCCCACCCAGCAGGCTGAGGCCAGCCTGGCTCCACTCCGTGCAATAAGAACCAGACCCCACGAGTGTTTTTCTCACGCGTGCTGTGATGCAGGTCCTGCAGCTCATGACAGCCGGAGCGTCTGCAGGGCTCACCTCAGCAGCACCTCTACTTGAGCTGCCCAGAAATGCCGGGCTTCAGGGGGGTCTGGGAAGGATGTGCCCCCAGGTGTGTGGCGTAGCCATGCCTGGGCTTTCCTGATCACCTGTCTGTAATTACACTGGCCCTTGCTACAGCCCAGGGTGCCTGTTGCTGAGCCACATGAGTGCCCAGGAGCTCTGGGCTCACCTGCAGTTGCTGGTGTCTGCCCAGCCCTGTGCCTCGAGCGAGGGGGGTTGGCCCTTGTGCAGTGGTGCCGCATGCCTTGAGGTGGAAACCAGAGTGGAAGCAGCTGCAGAAGCTGCCTGTAGTTGAGCTGCAAACAACAGTGACCGCTCACAGGCAGCAGTTAATGGCAGGTCACTGGATCTTTTGGGCTGAGGTGGCATCTTTGGTGTCCTCTAGGAGCTGGCCCAGGTGCAGTAAACAGCAGGGAGCCCCTCCTGGGAGATCCAGCAGCGGGAGGTGCATACATGAGGTGTGAGGTTCTGCTCTTTACCCTGCCAAGGCACCTACTTTCCCCCTTTGCTGCCTGCTGGGTTTGTGCATGCATGGCAGGCTTGTTGCATACTGAAGCATACTGTACTGTTTTCACAGCCCAGCCCCACAAATAGGATGTGTTCCTTTACAAAGGTTGCTGGCCAGGCAGTGTGCTGCAGGCAGCGTCCACAGCCCTTGGGAGAGCTGGGGTCCAGCTAGGAATGGAAACTGCAGCTCTGTTGAACTGGAGCTTTTGTGCTTCCCATAGGGAAGGCAGGGACTGGGTCTCACTAAAGGCGCTGGCTGGGAGCCGTGTGCGGGCAGGCCCCTCGCAGCCGGTCCTGCTCACCCTTTGTGCAGGGCAGCTGCGGGGATGCAGCCCAAGGCCTTTTTGGGAGGCAGGTGCCAAGGGCTGTGCTACAGCACTGGCCTTCAAGAAAGGGAGCAAGTGGTTGCGAGATGGGGCAGGGGGTGTTGCTCCTGTAACACTAGTTGCTTTGATGGTAGGTTTTTGCTCACTTGTGTTGCTGGCACTGGGGTTGTTCCTGCTCCCCCATGCAGTGTGGAAGGAGATGCTGACAGTCACACAAGAAGCCAGCATCCTACCTGACTCAGCCCCAGGAGGCCTGGCTGTATGGCGAGCCCCTGCCCCTTGCGGGGAGCTTGTAGGCTCGGCTGCAAGCTGGTTTGGTAATTGGGAAGGGTTTGGGCTTGCTGCAGATGGCAGAGCTGTGACACTGGTGTGTGCTCCTCTCCCCACGCCCAGCCCAGTCCTCCTTGATGGCATCTCCACAGACGGAGGAGTTCTTCGATCTCATTGCCAGCTCCCAGAGCAGACGGCTGGATGACCAGCGTGCCAACGTGGGCAACCTGCCAGGCCTGCGGATAACACACAACAACCTGGGGCACCTGTGTATGGAGGGGGACACCCAGGAGCCTGGGGACGAGTTCTTCAACATGCTCATGAAGTGTCAGGTACCAGCTGCCAAGCTGGAGGGGTAGGGGGGTACCAGCTTCTCCCACACAGGCAAAGGCCATCCCCCAATCACGCCTGCCCTCCTGAGAGGGGCTGTGGCCAGCAGCTGCCCACCCGCAGCCCTGGGCACCTAGGCAGGCCCTTGTCTTTGCCTCCACATCCTTCTTTTTACCCTGTACTGAGGGTGGCATTTTGTCACAGCTCTACAAGTGCAGGTGGCTGGAGAACCCACTCTCCACGCAGTGCCTACAGCCCCATGCTGGGTCACTGCTCTTCCCTTACGCTGGAGCCCGCAGCGGGGTGCAGCACCGGGGGGAGCGCATGCTCTGGCCTCCCCTCGGGCACTGCTCCCAGCGCTTTACTTCCATGAGCAGACTGTCTTGTCACTACTTGGGCCTAATGCCTGTTCTCATCCCTGTGCAGTCCTCCAGGATAGATGACCAGCGCTGTGCACCACCAGACTCCATTCCCCGTGGCCCCACCATGCCAGACGAAGACTTCTTCAGCCTCATCCAGCGTGTCCAGGCCAAACGCATGGATGAGCAGCGGGTGGATTTGGCCTCAGCCCAGGAGGAGGCAGCAGAGGAGCAGCAGAGGCCTGGTTCCAGCTAAGAACTGGGGTTTGGTTTGGGGGGGTGGTTTTGGTTTCATTTTGTTTTTTAAAAAGAAAGAGAGTGTAGGTGGTTTCAAACCTGAGCAATCCTGTGCAACCACAGACTTCTCCCAGGAGCTGCACCTCTGTCGCATCACACCTGGCTGTGCTGCAGAGGGAATGTTACAGGAGGGACCCAGTTTTTAAACAAGGGTTTTTTTAGGACATATGGACACTGGGCACAGCACGAGGGAAGAAGACTTTGGCAGCCCCTCTGCTTATCATCTGAAAATCCAGGAACTTGTGCTGTCAGCCAAAGGAGGAGCCCACAGTGGGCAGTGAACTCCAGCCTTCATGTCTTTTATTTCCACAACACTTTTAATTTAATGGGGGAAGGGAAGAGCACCTTTTCCATTTTGAAGTCCTCCTGCCTTGCCTGCATCATGCGGTGACACAAATTGCTCTGGATCCTTCCCTGGAATGTCTTGCTCAGCTTTATTTTTTCTGCGGGAGGAAATGAGCCCAAGCCAGAGGCTATACCGGTTCTTTCAAACCTCACCACCGCCCCAGCTGCAGTCATGGTCCCACACACCTTAAACTTTAAGTTTGCTGAGGACTGCAGCGAGCCCTGTGACGCCCTCTGCACTTCCCCAGCTGCAGTCCTGCATGGAGCTGCATCGGGACCTCCCAAGCAGGAGCAGAGCCATACTCACCCTGAGCTTTGGTGGGATTAGAGAAGAGCTGTGCAGCCCAAACTGCAGGCATGAAACAGGGGCCCCTGCCTGGGAAGGGAGGAAGGAAGTCTCTGCCTGTCTGTTCAGCACAAGGCAAACTTGGGCACCTCATCACTTCTGGTGCTGCTGAGCCACAAGTCTCGTGCAGGATTTGTCCTGTGTGCAGGTGAGTGTGCCCAAGGCAGAAGCCTGCATTTGGCAATGGCCCACCGCGAGAGCCAGCAAAGTTTTCTGGCCATGGCTTCTCAGGAGAGCAAGCAGAACCATCCTCTCCTCCCTTTTGTGTCCAACAGCAGTCAGGGGTGATAGCCCTTCCCTCCCCTCGCCTCTCCTCAAACCAGGGCTGAGCTCCACCCCCATCCCTGCAGGCCCCAGCAGAGCTCTTTTGGCAAAGCACCCCTGTTCTGCCCAATCTGTCTCCAATAAATGGAGCGTCACGAGAGCTCCAGGCTGGGGTGTTGGCTGGGAAGTCAGTTCCACCCCACGCACAAGTGTAAGGGTCTACACTTACTTTCATTCTTTCCCCTTTCGGACCAGCTGGAAAAGCAAGCCCAGAGAGGCAGGAACCAGGGATCTGACTTCAGGAGGTGGAGTATTTCTTCTTTGTTTGACCAGGTAGACTATCTTGGACTTCAGAAGCTCCAGTAATGAGTTCTGCCAAAGCAGATATGTTCCTATAATCAGCACTTTCTATTTGAAATGCATTTGATGGAAACATTTCCAACCAGCAGTAAGATTTTTAGACCAGTGATGCTGCTCATCAGGCATTTAACCTGCCTGCACTGACCATGTGGAGGGGTAGCTGCATTTCACCTGCTACCACAGAGCAACTCACCTGCTGCACAGATTGCTTGGCTGAGGCTCGGCCTCCTTCCTAGGGCTGGTCAGAGCTCTGGAGAAAGGAGAGGAGGCCCTGCCCAGCCACCTCTGTACTGACCCAGCTTGCATTTGTGAAGAGGAAGAAAACACTGAAGATGAAGATGACTTGACCAGCAGCAGGCTCAGGCCTGTGCAGCTCTCAGCCAAGTGGTGAACTGGAATCTGACAGTTAAGCTTTCAGAGGTGTTAATTATTTGCCATATACTTGAATGTATGAGCTTATTTATTTTTTACATGTGCATTTGCTAATGTCATTTTAATGGAGAATTTCCAACCCACAGGTACTTTTTTTTCTAAAAAATAATCTGCCAAATGAATTAATATATTAGAAATGAATACAGCTCAAGGGGAAGGGGGGTTGTGCTTAATAAATATTTGTGTCTAAGCTTCAGTGACAAGAATTAATTTCTATTATTTCTTGGCCAGCCTGCCTGCTTTGCTGACAGCAGAGCTAACGCTGGCCCTTCGAAATGGGGTTGGGGGTGGGTGACGGTCTCTTGTGCCAGACACCACTACGGGTAAGTGTTAAGAAAAGGGTGTATGCATGCACCTACACATCCCTTTACATTAAGAGCACACAGGTCGCTCAGGCAGCAGCCACCACCCCCAGCTCTGCCTGCCATAAGCACACAGCATCTACCCGCCTGCACAGCTGTGGAGATGCACAAAGCCCAGAGCATTCCCTACCCAGAGCCCAGGAGTTACCAGGACAACAGGGCAGACAAACAGCCCTGCAGTGGCTGAGGAAAGACCAGCTGCTTCTGTCAGCCTGAGCCCTCCTCTACGACTGTGGCTGAGCCTTTCCTTCCAGGCCTGACTGGAGGCTTCATCTCAGCCCTGTCTCAGTGCCTTCCCCAAAAGCTGCGTCTCGTTTCCCTGGCAGCAGCTACCACAGCAAAAGGGCAGCAGGTGCTGCGCAAAGCCCTGGCATCAGCCCTTAGTGAAGATACTCACAAAGCAGCAGAGCTAGCTCGTTCCAACGCAGCAGCTGCAAGCAGGCCATTAGATTTCACTAGAAAGTGGGCCTGGGAGGATAAAGCCAAGTCACAGCTGGTCTTCCCACACCTGGCTAACTTGTGCTGGCCACTGCCAGTCCTGATCAAAGATTAATGAAGAGCCACCAGCTTGTTCTCATCTGGCATTCTGACACCTCTGGATGCCTGGACACAAGAAGCTCTGTGCTAGAAGTCCCTGTGTGCGACTTACTTGGGGACAGAACCATGCCCCCAAGGTGCACAGGCTAGAGGCTTGGATTGCCAGGGACTGGTGAAATCCCTGTCAGCAATGGGGTCTCACCTGCTGTCCCTCTGTCTTTAGCAGCTGGGGAAGGGAGCACATGCTTTCCAGTAAACGTCTCTTTCAGAGCCCCTGTGAGCAGGAGGCAATGGCTACAACTGAATCACCAGAGCAGCTCACAGCCTGCAATGGTTGCTGCAGCAGCAGAGACAGCGGTGCGCCAGTGTCCAACGCCAGCCCGTCCCTCTCCTGCTCTGCTGGGTCAGCAGAGCTTGCTCCCACATAGGGAACAGCTCTCCGATGCTGGCACCCGCTGGATAGGCATGGGATTGCCAGGGCCTGCGCAGCGCTCACACAGACCAACTTGCTGTTCAGCTTTGCATTGCGGAGTTTACTAGAGCGCAGGGTGCTGTCCCCGGTGCAAGTCCAGAGGTGAAGAGGAACCCTAAAAAGACAGCAGAAACACAAGACATTGATGTCTCCTACTCTGCTGTACACATGCCCTGGAGGCACTTCTGAGACAGGGCTGATGTCAGGCCCATGGGGATTTTCATACTGCTCATCTGCCAAGACACATCAGGGCTAAGACTTACCTCACCCCTCCCCAGAGCCTCGTGCCGTTACTGCTCCAGCCATCATTGATCTTCATCTGGCTGGAATGGCGCTCAGCCTGCGGGAAGTGACGTGCTGGCCCCCGAGCACCCAAGCACTATAAATTTCAGTTTGGAGCTGGGCAGCTTTCAGCAGCTCTCCACAGCAACCTCCTGGCACCCGCTAGGCCAGGACACAGCCAGGGGCAAAGTTCACTCCTGCACAGCTTTGCAGTAAGGGGGGGCCATCCCTGCACTGAATATCCCAGCCCAGGGACACAGCGTTCCAAGCATGCAGGGTTCCAAGCAGAGGGCTCACCCTCGCTGTGCCTCTTTGCCTGCAGTACAGTAGGACATGGAGGCCCAGAACCCACCTATGCTAGACCCTATGCAAGCACCACAAATGAGCAGTGATTCATTTCACAAGACCCAGCACCCCTCCTCACTGCCTCCACTGATGCCAAAAACACATACCTGCCCGATCACACATCAGTGAGGCAGGCCAACCCCCAAGAGGCTCCCAAGTCCTTCCTCGGTCCAGCTGAGACCTCCACAGCATGCCCAAGCGGGGCAGGGCTTAGAACTGCCCCCTCTGTGTAAGGCTGCAGGAGTCCCGCATGGTGCACACAACACATTCATGCACACTGGCAGCAAAAAGCAGCAGGGGGTTATGCCAGGTAGCCCCAGCAAACCGGCCTCTGCACCCCAGCCTCCCTCTTGTTTGGGCCTGCTCAAAGGCATTCCCTCAGCAAGTCCGGTCACCACGTGCTTCCCAGCCCCACAGGGCCCCATCTCACCCACCTTTACCAAACACCACTGCCTTCCCGCCGAGCATGGGCCAGAACACTAGTAACTCCTGCAGCTGACAGACACGACCCATCAGCATCCCACACTGGCCCGATTAACTCTGGAGTCTGGCTGCACTACAAAAGGAGGATTTGCTCAGAGGCAGGAAACAAGAGGCAAAGTATTTGCCATTTTGCAGAAAAGCCCTCGTGGGGCAGGATTCGGGAAGAGAATCCATCCCTTAACAGCCACAGTGAAATGCTTCAAGGAATGTGCAAACAATGGCTTTATGTTTGCCGCCCAGCCTGTGAACGCTGCTTTGTCCCTCCTTGAAATTGCCACCTCTCCTCTGTGCCACAAAGACTTACCCTGGTCGGCTGCACCTCCAGTCCCCCTCCTCTGCCCTGCTGCACGTCATTCTTTCCCCATCTTGACACACCTCCAGTTCAGGAGAAAGGCTGCTTCTCTTCCTGCTCCCTCGATTTTGGCTAAATCAAGATCTGCTGGGCTCCTGCCAGACAAAGCATGCTCAAAGAATCATTAAGGTTGGAAAAGACCTTTAAGATCATAAAGTCCAACCATCAACACACCACCACCATGCTCACTAAACCATATCCTGAAGTGCCACGTCCACATGTTTTTTTGAACACTTCCAGTGATAGTGACTTCACCACCTCCCTGGGCAGCCTGTTCCAATGTTTCACCACTTGGTAAAGAATTTTTCCTAATATCCAATCTAAACCTCCCCTGGCACAACTTGAGGCCATTTCCTCTCGTCCTGTCACTGGTTACTTGAAAGAAGAGACCAACACCCACCTCACCACAACCCCCTTTCAGGTAGCTGTAGAGAGCGATAAGGTCCCCCTTCCAGTCCTCTTCTCCAGACTGAACACCCCCAGTTCCCTCAGCCGCTCCTCATAAGACTTGTGCTCCAGACCCCTCACCAGCTTCGTTGCCCTTCTCTGGACACGCTCCAGCACCTCAATGTCCTTCTTGTAGTGAGGGGCCCAAAACTGAACACAGTGTTCGAGGTGCGGCCTCACCAGTGGGTCAGGGTATAGGGGTACAATCACTTCCCTACTCCTGCTGGCCACACTATTTCTGATACAGGCCAGGACGCTGTTGGCCTTCTTGGCCACCTGGGCACACTGCCGGCTCATGTTCAGCCGGCTGTCGACCAGCTCTCCCAGGTCCTTTTCCGCCAGGCAGGAGGACACTTGTGTCCTCTTTCAAGAGCAGTCACACTTGCGTGTGACACAATATTTTTCAGAAAAACACGCTTCAAAAGGGAGCACAGAATTCCTTTTTCACCTGCAATCTATTAGCAGTAAATCTTTCTGCATTAAGTGCAAATTCCCTCACATCACTGCAACCCTCTCCCTTCCCAGCTGAAAGCCCCAGAATGTTTTGTCAGGAGAGGCACTGATTTCCTGCGCTGTTGGGTACTGCAGCCTCAGTGTTTGGGGCAAACGAGTCCCTGGGGGCTGCAGGCCCCACACACCTGCCTGCTGCAGAGGCCATGGTGGGCAGCGAGCTCTCTGCGCTCTGCACCAGCGCCTCACCCTGAAGATATGCCCACTCCATGTAATCTGCTGCCTCCTGTTTTCATAGAACCGTTTAGGTTGGACTCAACCACCTCCCCAAGCAGCCTGTTCCAGTGCTTGACAACCCTTTCAGGGAAGAAATTTTTCCTAACATCCAATCTAGACCTCCCCTGGCGCAAGTTGAGGCCGTTCCCATGGTGTTGGCCTGAACCTTCAATGCAGCAGCAAAAATATGTCACCCTGCATCTCAGACCTCTGGCAGGCCAGCCTGCTACGCTGGCAGCTGGCTGCGAGACACAGGGACCAGCACTCTCCCGCCTCCAGACAGTGCCTAGTGCCAGAGGTGCCTGAGGAAACACTAAAATCTAGTAACATCCAGCCATGGACAGGCTTTGCTACAGTTTTTACTGTAACACAAAGACAAGCACCACCTTTCTGTAACTGGGGCACAGTAACAGGTAGGAAAAGTAAGGAATACAGTATATAAAAGTCAGGTTGTAAATGAACTGTTTCTGAGGCAATGCGGATCCTGCAACCGCGGCCCTGTTCCACCCCACCAAAGGCATTAGTGCAACGGAAGCAGAATGCTGATTTTCAGGTAAAAGGCAATGAAATAACCACTCTTCCAGCAGAGTGCTAATACATACCAGCAAGTCACAACAGGGTGAGCATGCAGCAATGTTCCAAGATGCAAGACTCCTGTTTCTTACTTAATATGTAGATCACTCCAGCATCTCGTTGTCTGAGAGAGCACTGTATTTCACCAGGACCTGAACAGGCACAAGCCAGCTGACCGATGAAGTTCCTGCCCCTCAGTGCTGTTTCATCACTCTGAACTTAACGCACTAACAGGAAAACATGATTATTTTCCTGTCACCCTGTTACATGCTTATAATGCAACACATATAAAATCACTATGAATGCTTCAGGTGAATGAAGTAAACTCATTAATACATGCAATGCCCTCACTGAGTACTTGGCTGATTAAAGACCACAAGCACCTGGATATGTTTGGCTGAAAGAACTGGATCTGTTCAGCCCAGAGACATAAAGACCAAAAGGATTTTACTGTTTTCTATAACTCACTAATGACAGGATGTAGAGAACAGAGAGACAGACTCTCCTCAGAAGTGCACAGTGGAAAGAAGGTCATGGGTGCAAGCTGAAAAAGAGAGGTCCAAAGAGGTTGTGGGATCTCCATCCTCAGAGATATTCAAGACAAGACCCTGAGCATCCTTATCTAAGTGGACCTCCTTTGAACAAGAGGGTGGGACTAGAAACCTCCAGAGGTCTCTTCCAACCTGAATTATTCTTTGGTTGCAAGTTTAAAAACATAAACAAGCAGACACTTCACTGTACTTCAGGCTAACGGACCTCAAGAGAAGTTAAACCTCCATGCAGACAGAGGAAGTAAGCCCTAACAAAGTGCAACGTGATCACCTCACTGCCCGATTCATCACTACCTGGTCATCACTGTTACATGCTGGTAAACACCTACATTTTTCTTTTTTTTTTTTTTTTCCTTCTGATCTGAACATGCCGCAGTAACGTTCGTATCAGTATCTGTCAAGTAACTATATGACAACTTTCTAGGTGCTCTACTTATCTCCAACATGCTTCACAAATATTAATTTGGCTCCATCCTCCCTCTCACCAACAAGGAAGTTGCATAATCCCAACGCCGGGACCCGCTCTCTGACTCATCGTGATTCCCAAAGTGGGATTCCCGAGCGCAGGGGCTGATGCTCCCACAGGGCGGCTCACGCCGTAACCGACAAACACAGAAGACTTCCAGCCCTGACGTGAGGTGCATAGCAGCAAAATTCTGGAAGAGTGCAAGGAAAAGAAAAAAGAAACACCCCAGTGACTGCAGTGAGAGCTAGTGATCTGACCCTCCTGCAGAGCCATTTTGACTTTGCAAGCTCATGCAGGGTCAGGGCACATCTCCTCAGGTGGCTTCAGTTGCCTCTTCTGCTCAGCCACTCAGCCCTGGGATGCACCTCCACCCCTCCACCAGCTCTGCAGCCAGCTGCTGCCGGGCAGCACCTGGGCAAGGCCAGGAGACATGGCTAATGCCTCCAGCTACAGCTGCACCTCCCTAGGCCAAAGTATACGGACGAAGAATTACTGGCTCCATTCTCAGCAGAGAACAAAGCAGGGCTCCTGACATGGCTGAAGCACCGAGATTTGCCTTACAGTCAGCAAAACAAGTACCAGGAAAAATATCTACACTCTGTCTCTAAAAACATTAGCTTGATCGAAGGCAAAACTACACAAGACAAAGACACACAACAGAGAAAGACCAATGCCCGAGTTTATTTTACACACAGACCATTGAAATCAGGGAATAAAGGTTAAGAGTCTCTCTTGCCGTCAGCTGAACGACACAAATCCCATTCGTCAGGTCTGTCCCTTGCTGCCAGTCTCTGGGGGGGCGTCCCCACTTTCTCCCTCCACGAGCTGACCTTGAGACCCGGTATCTGCCGAGCTTTCCAGAAGCAGTTCCAAAGCTTCCTCGCCAGCCACACGTCTCACTTTCTCCCCTTTGGCTGCCAGGATTTCCTCGATATTCCTTAACAGCGATTTGAAAACCAACAGTGACGCCCAGCAACGGCCAAACGTGAGTCAAGCGCAGGCTCGCTCTTCCACACTTTGCTCTCAGGATTAACACCACACAGTGAATTGCCCATGAGCACTACCACGGTATTTCTCCATAAAGCATTTGGGAAGCAGAGAAAACCACCCAAACCTTCTGGGACTATTTTCATCCATTGGGATCAATGGTTTAGCAATTACAGCTAAACAGAAATATTTAAAGGTATGTCAGGGAGTTAGAAGTCATTGAAATTCAGCAGCAGATGGGTCTACACATCTGAAACGCTTAACCAAAGAAACTTAGCAGTGATCTGATACAGCCTGAGGGAGAAAAAAGAACTCCACGTGCAGTAATTCACTGGCTGGCACCAACAAGGACGCCTGCGTATCGCACAGCTTCACCCCGTTTAGTTGGATCCTAGGTAGCGACAGCCATGTTACAGGAGATGACAAAGCTCAGTTTGTGCACTTTAAGAAACTGGATGAAACTGAATTATACCCAGCAAAAACTCTGATTTTCTCCAAACCACGTTTTACAAGCATCAAAGAATGCTGTATCAGCACAGCGGGTTCCAGCCACAACCCCGCAGTCCTCTCCCTCCCCGCACAGGAGCGCTGCTGCGGCACCTACCTCCTGCCTTCCAGATCTGAAAACCACCCGAGGTTGTCCGCTATGACATGGTGGTTCCCGCAGCCGGGACACTTCACTATCACCACCCCGTTATGGTAGGCTAACTTGGAAATCGTTTTTGCTGACCGGGTCTGGCAGACCTACAAAGCAAGCGAAATGGATTTTGTGACCACGATAACTGCAGCTTCTGGACCCTTTAAGAGAAAAAATCATTTGTTTACCTGATTAAAGGATT